CCCCCGGCAATGCCTGCCTGTACCTTTTGCTTGTAGTGTCTCACGATGCTGGTTGATGGGAATTAGCTGTGACAGATGCACAAGTGTCTACCCCAGCAACTGTCATTCTTGCTTTTTTGGGAAGGATATCAAGGACAATGTTCTACTTGAGCATGGTTTTTTTTCTGTGAAGCTTCAACCAAGACGCTTAAATAGGTAGGTGTTTATCTTTGGGGACCTATTTCCCTCCTGGGTATCCATCCATCTCCTTGCCTTACCACAGCCCACAAAGAGACACTGCATCATAAACCCAGCATATAGTAAGGCTGTAGACTTAAGTTTTCATTTGGGGGTTTGGCATCCAGTGCTTTCATGGCTCTGAGAAGAGGGGCAGACCATCAAAACAGAGGTCAGTACAAATAGTACAGGCTAGCTTCTAGAATGGACTTTTGTAGAGAGATCACCAAAGATACTGTGAAGTGTGGAGCTTTTCTCTCAAATATATTAGGTTTTCCCTGTGTCAAGGTCAGAGATTTGCTTACCTCTGATCACCTGCAAGTCTTGTTCCACTAAAACTGACCTGAAGCCATCTGAGCCTAACACTATTAGCTGAGGGAGGGAGTATACCTCTTCCTGCTGAACCATCCCAGCCCAAGGCCTGGTGGCTTCCAACTATTACTGATTTTCTGATTCCATCACAGACTTCTCAAACATCAGCCAGATTTCTATCCTTATTTTTTTTTATGAGTCTTTGATTTGCCTCTCCACATTTTCTTTTAGAGATTTTTGGATTGTAGAGGATACAGGAAAGCATAGCAAAAAGGGAAGATGTTGTGTGGGTGCAACATGAGGACTAATGGACTAATAGAAGAACCTGGGTTTCCATTTCCTAACCAAGAGGACAAAGTGGACACCTCATTTGCACTGTGGGTGTGGCTGACAACAAGGGCTAAATTAGGAGCAAGGCCTAGATCAGCCTGATACGGGAGCTTAGAAAGCCATCATGCTAAGCCTGAGATCATGGACACTGCCACATCCATGAGGAGGAAAATGCTGGCTACCTGGAAAGGCCCCCTCTTTTCCCCAGGAGATGAGTTGTTGAGTGTAGAAAGGTTTTAGCTTAGTTCCTGATACTGTGTGCTATCAGTAAACGCTGGTCATTACTAGTTTTATTTTTTATCTATGCCAAAGTTCCATTGGTTAATGATATTTCTGAGAGAAAAATCCACCAGGTAACATAAGTTTTGCTGGTGAAAAACTTTAGTGATTCTTGGAGACATCCCAGGAGGGAACCTGGGCAGGTGTGGGACCTATGCTTGCACTCATGTTCTGCATTGACAGATCGCCCGCCAGAGGGCACCCTTGCACCTCTGGTGGCAGGCTGAGAAAGACCACAGGCCAAGGCTTCCACCATCCTGCCACCCTGTGGGCTCTTTGTGGACAGCATTTCCTCAGCTGCTTCTAAAAGCAAGCTTATGTGTATGTGTGTGTGTGGGGGGCAGGCTTTCTTACAAGCATAGTGAGAGGCTGTGAATCCAAGCCTGTATGGTGGAGGATAGGCAGGTCCAGCTTTTCTTAAAAGCATACAGATGCTGTGGATCCAAGCCCGAGATACTTGGGGGCTGAAATGTATCCCATCCCCAGGCAACTTCAAGTCTGGCATGGACTCACATCACAGTCTGGGAATTGACAAGTGTGCCTCAGCAGCACGACATTGCCCTATGGGGCAGGGTTTTGTGGCCCCTTTATGTATGGAAGATATCTCAGCCCTTCTCTTTGCCCGCTTTCTATGAGAAATTTGTGCTTTGCACACTTCCATGTTTAAAGAAGTGTATTGGGAGTTCCTTTGCTCCTTTAAGATACAAAGTTAAAAGACATTGATCAGGAAGCCTAGTTCCCCCTGGGCTCAGTGAAGCACATGAAGGGATGTGTGCTTTTTTTATTATATAAGACAGTCTACCAGGTTTCCCTCGGCAGAACGCAGAGGGCCCTGTGAATAAGCAATGGCTTAGCATAGAATGCCACAAACACTGATACCTCCTTCCAGAGGAAAGACTAAGTGCAGGAAAGCACACTCTAAAACTCTAGATCACTTAAAGAGGTTACTTTACTTCATGTCCTCTTTACAGAGAGGGAAGGAAGGTTTAGAGAATTTAGGAAGCTATGGGATGATAAATGGGAGGCTAGCTGCATCATGGGCTGAAGTAGGAACCATCTCAGAAGCACAGGGGGCCAAGGTTAGCTCCCTTCCCCAGCACGTTGCTTCTCAAAGCCACCCCGAGTCATTCTTTACTGGGATCTGTACCTGCCTTATTCTCAACTATCACCCCCCCTTCTGTCATTTATAAATATTTTATTCCTATCCAGTAACAAATTCCCCAACCACCTTCTCTCTGTACCCTCAGCTGGCACCAGGCCCTGGGCAGTCACAGTAAACATGGCAAGCATAAAGATGAGGCTGGGGAATGGAGGATACTGACTGTTCTCCCTAAGGGGCCAATCTGCTTCAAGCTGAACTGGCCTGTTGCAGGGTCCAATCTTAACTACTGGGCAAGACTGCATTGTAGTGGGAACTCAAATATGGCATCTGAAAGCCTAGAGTGGTTTTGATATCCAAGCACTTGGGAGATGGAGACAGGAGGATTTCTGCAAATTCAAGGGGAGGCTATGTAGTGAGTTCCAGGTCATACTGTACTAGAGAGTGAGAGCTTGTCTAAATTAAAAAACAAATCAGAAAAAAGACCTCTGTTGGAGGTTTTGGAGAACACTCTTTGAACTATACTTGAAGAACAGGAGTGACAGATAAAGGGACCCAGTACTCAGCTTTTGAGTCATATGATGCTGTGTTTATTTCCTGCATTAAATATATCCCAAGTAGAACTGTTAAGTGCTTACTGAGTCCACCCCATCTGGCTTTGGTGTCTGCTCTGCAGGTGAGCTTCATGCAGAGGGAGAGGAAATAACAGCTGTGCGTTTTATATTTCTCACCACATGATTCATTCTTTCCTGAAGTCCTAAATTTTCATCTGGTGTCTTCTTTGGGGAAGAGCCTCCTCCTCCAGTAGGTGTGCTGTGCCGATCTGATGGTGATGCACTCTCCAGCTTTGAAAAGCTGACCATGCAGGTTGTTTCCTTTGGATATGGGATTCTGGGTTAATGTTTTTTTCCCCTCACTCTGTACTGACACAGCTCCAATTGCTTCTCAGCCTTCATTGCTTATGCTTAGATGTCAGTAGCCTAAGAGGTGTTGGCTTTGTAGAATCAGTTGTGCCATTTTTTCCTGTTTGCCTTTCAGCATGTCTCTCCTTAGCTTTCTTTTAACTTCACTGGTGTGTGGTTTTCTTTACATTTATCTTACTTAAGTTTGCAGAGATTACTGGCTCTGTCAATTTGTGTAGTTGATTTGAAGCCACTATTTCTCCCATTTTCATTTTATCTTCCCTTCTGGAATATCTCTTAGTATCTTCTTGTCCCTGGAGCTGTGTGTGTTGCCTTTTTCAATCCTTTCCTCTCTTCATTCTTCACACTGGGTGATTTGTATCAAAACATACATCAAGATCCTTCTCTGCTTTTCTGCCTCCCTACTCTGGCCTGGTCCCAACTTTGCATCATGCCATGTAACAGTTGACAGAGACTCTCTGGGATGTAACATAATAAAGGTGGTATGTGACCATGAGCATGTTACTTGGGGAAACATACATGTCACTTTCCTTGATGGGGCAGGGTTTGAAGATGAGTTCTAGCCTCCAAATTCCCAGTCCAAACACTCTCCATGATGTATTTTTCTCCCCCAACCCCAGGCAATATTCATTTCAGAACCTGGACTAGAATGAACTTGTACTGAGGTCTTTGAGGGCTGTGTGTTCTCTCTCTATCAAGGTTACTTTTGATACAAGGTTAAATTCTATTACCAGACTAACTTTCTACCTTAGAGATACTGCCTAGGTGTGGGGGTACATCACTGAATAAAGTAAACAACAGAAAAAGTTCCTCCTGCTCTGCCGTGACTTCTCTCAATTTCAACCCTTGCTTTTAGCCTCATTGTTGGCAGACAAAAAATACCAGGCTCAAGCTCCAGCTCTGAAGATGTCAGATTAGTTTACCTGCTAAGTCACTTACTGGCTTTTTTCTTTGTGGGCGTGAAGTCATTACTCCATCTGCTTAGGGTCATTATACAGTTTTAGACAGAGATGGCACAAGAGGAGTCAGCCTCTTGCTGGCCCACAGTATCTGTTCTTTCATTATTCCCTCTTTATGTAGATCTGTGGTAGGGATATTCCATTTTCTCTCTTGGGATTTTGTACTTAGTAGTAAATATGTTGCATTACTCTAAGAACATTGACCTGCCTCAGCCTATCAGATATCAAACTATTATGAAGGATTCTTCTCAAATGAGTCTTCTTTGCCCATTTTTTTTTGGGGGGGGGCTTGAGGTTTGAGATCTTTTTAGATCTGGGTTTTTTTTTTTTTGTATCTATATAATGAGATCTTTTAGGGAAGTGACTCCAGGGCAAAGAAGCTCTATTTGCATTTCACACATACCTAATAAATAGCTTAAGGAGATTTTTTAGATCAAACAAAGTTTCATTGTATGGAAATTGGTTTTTGCTTTGCGGCATCATGTTGATACTAATAATGTCTTGACAGCATATGTCTCCACCTGGAGGTGGAGGTAGGGGGATGGGGCATCCTGGGCCAACCTCATCTACATGAGTTTGAGGTTAACTTGAACTCCATGAGACTCTGACAGAAAACAAAACAAAAAGTTTTGGGTTTTGTACCATTTTTGATTTTACGTTTTGAGATTCGAGGTACTTAATCTGTATGCGAACCCTGATGGAGCGACGGTTCCCTGAATCCCTCCTACCCGAGCGTTCACGTGACTCTTGAAATGGTTCGTCTTTATCTTTCTATGCTCTAATCTCCTATCTGTTAGAAATGCCTGATGTTTCTACATCTACTCCTGAACCCCACAGAACCTTTCCTAACTATTGTCCCTACTCTTCTTCTCCTTTCCCTAGGTTATGGACATGCTGCACCTGGAACTGATGCTGGCAAGGCCTTCTGTATGTTCTACGCTGTGCTGGGTATCCCCCTGACGCTGGTTATGTTCCAGAGCCTGGGCGAGCGCATGAACACCTTCGTGCGTTACCTGCTGAAACGTATCAAGAAGTGCTGTGGCATGCGCAACACTGAAGTTTCTATGGAGAACATGGTGACCGTCGGTTTCTTTTCCTGCATGGGCACCCTGTGCCTTGGGGCCGCTGCCTTTTCCCAGTGCGAAGATTGGAGCTTCTTCCATGCCTACTACTACTGCTTCATTACACTGACTACTATAGGGTTTGGTGACTTTGTGGCTCTGCAGGCCAAGGGTGCCCTTCAGAGGAAGCCATTCTATGTGGCCTTCAGCTTCATGTATATCCTGGTGGGCCTGACCGTCATCGGTGCCTTCCTCAATCTTGTGGTCCTGCGATTCCTGACCATGAATACCGATGAGGAGCTTCTGGAGGGAGAAGTTGCGGAGTTAATTGCTAGAAATTCAAGAGGTGTGACTGTCCGTGTGCCTCAGAAACGCAAGAGGCACTACCCCATGTACCTCCTCAGGAAATACGGCAGAACCCTGTGCTATCTCTGCTTCCCTGGTGCCAACTGGGGTGATGATGACGACGATGATGATGATGTCGTCGAGAGTGTTGTTGTTACCGCTCCTGTTTCTGCTCCTGCTCCTGCTCCTGTTCCTGCTGCTGCTCCTGCTGCTGTTGCTGGTCCTTCTGCTGTTGCTGGTCCTTCTGCTGTTGCTGGTCCTTCTGCTTTTGCTGGTCCTTCTGCTGTTGCTGGTCCTTCTGGTGTTGCTGTTGGTCCCAATATCAGGAGTGTCCGGGCTACCGTCCACACCGTTTCCTGCAGGGTTGAAGAGATCTCTACAAGCGTGCTGAGGACCACCTACATCCGGTCCCCATTCGGCATCATCCCTCCTGGAGTGCACACCTGCGTGGACCATAGGAGGCACATCCGTCGCAAGTCCATCTAAGTGTGGGAGGGAAGTACACGGAAGAATCATTTGTCATGCAGATGTAAGTTTCATTGTCCCAATTCCTCCTTCCCTCCTTATTTATTATTATTCTCTTTTTTTGTGCTTACGGTCATCATCATTCCTTTCTCTCTTCCCTCCTTTCCTGGTTTCATTTCTTTCCGGCCTTTCCAACCAGGCAGAGCTGTTCAAAGGGAAAATAGAGGCCCATCCTCTCTGAAGCTCGCACCTGAGCATGAAGTATGGATTTCTTCCTTTCTCCCCACCAGAGTTATGCCTTACATTTCTCCCCACCCTGCCTCCTCTCGGGTGGCTTTCCTAGGACAGGTGTGAGAACAGGAGCACCAAGACAGAGCTGAGAGGATGCCCAACCGAAGCCTTTGACTGTCTACCCGTAGTGATGTCTCCGACCTAACTCCTCTCTTCTTCCCCCAAGGACTGGGTGGCTGTGTGTATGAGCGTGCAATATGAGTGTGTGTACTTCTGTGTGCAGGTGTGTTGTGCGACAAGGTGGAAAGTATCAGGCATTCATTTCCCTTCTCACGCATACAATTTCATTAACAGTCTCCTCGAGGCTGCTCCCAAACAAACTAAACCCTGCAAGGTTTGATTTATCACCTTGCCAAATTGAGCACATCCCACAAAGCACTTTTAACCCAAGATGTATCAGATGGCCGTAGCTTCTAAATCTCATTCACTTCTCTTCAGGGTATAGGTGGGTAAAGCCACAGGGATCAGGTTACCTTGCCAGTTTAAAATGAAATCTTTAAGAATCATGCACTTTGTGGAACTAGTTTGCATCATTGACACAAGAAAGCAGAGGTTGCAAAGGAGTAGTCCAAAGCCACTAGTGTCAACTTATTGAAGACATTTTGAATTTCGGCATTTCTAGTTCCAACAGGCTTCCCTGCAACTGGAGTTGTCAGGGTAAACAGGAAAATAGTTGGGACCCAAGAGTATCTATTTTATTATTTCCCTCTTCCTAACAATGATGACTATGATGGGATGAGCTCTGAGAAGTCTCTACTTGCATGGATTAGAGTCCTAGTTTTGGAATGCTTGGATGAGAATGGGTATCAGAATGATGATGTGGTTTCTTTTCCTAATGAGAAAGCTACAGGGCATTCCTCATTTAAATATATATAGAGAGGTATATATTTCATGAAAGAGTGTCTCTAAAATGCATTTGATCTGTAAACAGGGAGAAATTCACATTGGTCTCAGGAAGAGGTTTAGAGGCTGTATCTTGGCCTACTGGGAACTTGTCAAGCTCAGGGGATGCTTTGTCTAGATAGTTGAGAAATTCCTCCCCACTCTCAATAAAGGATGACCCTGTAGGGGACAGTTTAGGATAGAGAATATGGCACATCGTATGTAGGCCCTTTCAATCGCAGGAGTCTGAGGGCAGCTCGGCCTCCCTATTCACTGAGGGACTCTAATTTCTCTCATCGCCATCCCTGCCATCTCTAAAAGTCACCCCATTCACTCATCCTCCCACTCCTTCGTACACTGGAAGTTCCTGGCTTTTGGATGGAAATGGGCTTTGGCTACACTACGCACGCACAAGGAGCGCACTTACTGGTCTTCAAGATATCTTAAAGGACACAGCATCCAAATGCCACCAGTCCCAAGCATGTGTGCCATTGGGCTGAAACCAGGAGCATCCAGGACTCCTCTGGAAAGTCAATGCATGCACTTAATGCTACACCCCGTGTTGAAATATCCCCTTCGTCTAGGACACGGGACCTTCAAAAGGAGTCTGTGAACCTTAGACTCTCTTGGCCAAAGTTGACGTATTTCAACTTCGAGGTCTTTATCAGTTCACTTGTTTGAGATTTTGTTGTGTGGAATGCCCTTCACAGGGCTCTCAAGTCTGTCCAGAGAATAGAAGTAATCACTCTTCTTGAATGTTTTTGCTCTGCAAAGAGATTGTTGGCTCTTTCGGGTCACAAACGTGACAATCCTGATGCCTATATGCAGAGTACTTTATGCCTCGGAGGAGGTTTCCTGGGACACATGTAGGAATTGCCCTGAAACTGTTGTAAGATTTGTCCTCAAATGGTGGGTAGGTATGTGTGATCACCTCTGATCTGTACGTGGCATTGTGGCACTGAGAGAACCAAGGATCCACTCTCAGTCCCTACCCAGAAGGGTCCAGAAGGTGGACTTCCTGACACCAAGGTGTCCTGACTCAGCTCTACGGTGGAGGAGGGTTCCTGCTCGGTGTCTTCACAGGGCCAAACATTAGGCCCAGGAGTCAAGTCAGAGGGACATAGGCTCAGCCTATCTTTAGAGTTGGCTTCCCATTCATGTATCTGTACAAAGTGGTCACACAGTGACCATTGTGTGGGAAGGATTGAATGACAGGTACATCCCTTCTTCCCGGAGAAATATAGACAACACCTTCTATATTCTCACAGAGGTGACCCCCTCCTCCTTCTGCAAGGTAAAGGGCTATAGAGTGAAGTCTCTTTACTCCTCACATGATAGCCACTGAGGGAAGTAATGAAGCAACTTGTACTTGGTTATCATCCTTGTAACCCTCTCGTGTCTTCGGCTATTTATTGCCAGTTCAGCTTTGGAAGGAAGGGCACCAAATTGTCTCTTCCAAGCTCAACATAAGCGCACTGAAGGAAGGAATGAGTCTTGGCTTATCTCCCTTTAAGTGGATCTTTTCCAATGGCCAGTTTGTTCCTTAGCATAGGATCTGATGAGATTGTTCTCTGGGCACATCCAGTGATGTGCTCTCTTGGGGCGAGAGCAGGGAGGAATCAAATTCTGAAGGACTCTGCTTTTTACAAGATGGGAGTGGGCCATTTCTATGAAGAGTACACCAGTAGAGTCAAAGGGGCTCCAAGCAAAGGGACCTCTACTGGCTCCCCCATTTCATGAGGAGGAGACTGAGATTCAGGAGGGTCAACATATCTGAGGTCATGTGTAAAGAATATAGGTCTTCATGCTTCCTTTTGCTGTTGTCCTAGCTGCTTTGTTGATGTTTTGCACAGCATTCCAAAGATTCCCTATTACTGGGCTTTATTGTGTTTGTGGACAAGATCTCTCTCTCCCTCTCTCATACACTTGGCACCTTCTTTCAGCCAAGTGATCGTTGTACCCTTTCCTGCAGTTAACCAAACCCCTTCAACAGACCTCATGCCAGGTTGTTTGCAGAAGGGATTCAGTCTCAGGAACTGGAGGCTGGCTTGCTGTCCAGTTCCTGGAAGTTAATTTGCCTTGTATATATATATACTTAAGATATCTGATTCACTTGAACTCTTCACTAAGTGATCTCCATCGTTACTTCATCAAAGACAGTAAGACGTAGGCAATGATATGGGATAACCCAGAGCTCTGGGCTTGCTGATTCTAGTGTTCATCCCATTTGGATCCTTAAAGGTACCCATCCCAGGAAGAAGGTGCTGTCTCACCCATCTGCCTGTTAGACTTTGAACATCAAGAGAACTTCTCTCTCTGGGTTTTGAGATTCTCTGTTAGCCCCCGAACTGGAACTAGCTCTGTTCTTCCTGGTTGCCCCACTCAGTCTTGAGGCCAAGGCAGTAGCTTCTAAGACCTGAGCCCATGATGAGTGCTTGACTGACAGAGGTGCTGGCTTCAGTATGGCCATAGTGAGAAGGCCACACCTGTATGTTCTCTGTGTACCTGATTAAGGAGACATCTAGAGAGTAGACAAGCTGAGACAGGTAATTTTATCAGTTTCATCCAGATATGAAAGCTTTACAGATCTTGAATCCCAGTTCCAATCTATCTCAGCTGGAATCTAGGGGGATAAGGGCTCCTTGGAGGTCTTCTTTGTCTGTGCTTTGAGAGAAAGAAAGTCAGAAAATGATTACCCATCGTGGAGGCTCCCAGCTTCACCTTTATAGATCCTTTCTAAAATAATGAACACCAAGAGACTCACTGAGAGCTGTGAGATTTGAGATATGCTGGCATGTGTCCATTCCACCAGCTCCTAGCTTGTCAGCATCTGTGAATTGTGACTTAGTTCTGAAAATGGTAGATGCATTTCCTCCAGAGTCAAGGTCTTATCAGGACCAGAAGGCATCGTAGATGAGGAAGACTGGTAGGGCAGGGACTGGTTCTTCTGCCTTGCTTCACTGGGTTCTTGGGAGTCATTTCACTCCTTGAGCCTCTGTAGCTTTCTCTTTAATCTGATGGTACAGTAAGGGTGGGGATTTAGAGGCACTTTGTGCAAGATGAGCTTGACCCACAAGGACCTTTGGCTTGGATGATCTGGTCACATTTGAAGATTGATCCATCACAAAAATTCAGCTAAAATTGTGGCAGGAGATAGAGAGCTGGGAAGGTGAAGAGACACAAGTGCTGGCATAGAGGATTGGACCACGGTGTAATGCATCACGTGTTCCCTAAAGCATTAGGCTTAGATTGACTTTCTGTGGTCCCATCTTGACCACATGTTAGTAGATGTTGCTGCTTCAGGAAAACGGAAGTATATGATCATGATTTCCCTAACACCAACTTTGAAAAAAAAATGTCTGAAGGTGACAGAGAAATTGATAGACTAGCATCATGGGATTACCTAGACCTCTCACCCAGAGCCCCAACCTCAGTACCCCCCTCAATACTGAGATGGTTGGAAGATAAGGTATTATGGTGTCTACAGCTTTTAGGTGGTTCAGCCAAAGATAACATTGTATATCTCCCATAAAAGTGCATTCTCTTACATAGTAGTGGTGTTATCACACCTAAGAAACTTAGCATAAGAATATCTAATATAATAATATAATCTGTATAAAGAATTTCCCCAAGTGTCCCTAAAATGTCCTACTGAACTTGTTTGTGAATCTAAGATGCCATCAAAGATCACACCCCACACCTGCTTGTCTTGTTGTTCCCTAACCCCCAAATTGAGGGCATCTCCCTCATTGTGTTTGTGTCTCTTGATAATTGGTATTTTTGAGGACCCCAGGCCCGTAGTCTTGTAGAATGCCTATGATCTGCTGTCGTCTGCTTGTTCCCTCGGC